GGAGTAAATAAGTTGCTAGATAAACTATTTTTAACAAAAGAAAAATTACCAAAGTCTGGTGAAGACACTTCACTTAAAACTTGCAAAACATCTAAACAAATGAAAGCTAATATTCAGGATAATGTGGACCTTGGACAGCCAGTAAAGAAGAGTAAGAAAGTTATTAAAGGTAATTTGCTTTGATGTATAGCATATATTGTAATTAAAAATTTTGTAAGCACGATATAATCATGTTTGGAACAAGAAGCAATCTAGTATCTTAATGTCAATCCACTTTGGTTATCTTTAGAGAGGTGTGGTTACATCTGTTTTTAAGCTTGAGCACTTAAAAAATTACTGATTTCTATCGTTCCTTTATAGTTATTTGCTCGTTTTATTCTCCTTATTTCTTTTAGTAGTTGGCATGAATGTCACGAACTTAAGAATTTGTTGATTTGAAAATAGCTTGTGTAAGTTTCGTGTTTGTGATTTTTGTTTTCCATCTCCCCAGAAAATTCATCAGGATTTGATGTGAGGGCTTTCTGCAAACAACTAAGAAACAAAGCTATTCAGGTTTGTCTGGCTGGATTTGATAGTTTTTGAATCCTGTTAATTTGTAGAGGATGCTACTTGAATCTTCTCTAAGCCTGGTACCTTCTTATTTCTGTGTGCTTTTGAACAGAGCAGGGGTTCTGTTAATGTTATCTAGCTAATTAAGTGTTTTTGTAGGGGTTTGTATAGAATTTCAAAATGACCATAAGACCAAGTGTAAGGATGGTTGTTCTGCATTTTAAAAATACAGATAGACTTTGTAGTCAGACAAATGGCTTAAACCTTGTCTGGCTTTAGTTTGTACTAGGTGTGGCCTGTAAGCAAATCTTAATGCATATAGAGTATTCAGCAGTCTAGAGTATTTTAAGCATTTAACTAGTGTTAAATGTTACTAGTAGCTGTCATCATTTTTGTAATCCTCCTTATTTGACATGGGGCTTCTATTCCTCTTATTAATTAGTACTTGTAAATTCAGTTTGTTCTGGACTTAAAGGTAAGCATGCAGTGCCACCTGTTTTCACTCAGTAACTACTTTTATCATGCTTTGTCTTTTGTGGGTTATTTTTTTTTTCATTTTTCTTAAGAATTCTTGATTCTTTCTAATAACTCAAAAGTTCCAAGAGAGGAGTGACATTTTCTGAGCTTGGAATTAGTCTAAAGCTTTATGTGTATTATGTCATTAATCCACAGAAAAGCTCTCTATGAAGTAGATGTTCGTGTTACTCTTCACATTTCCTTGTAGAAACTGAAGCATACATAGGTGGGCCAAACTTATCTAATAAGTGGCAGAACTGGGATTATATCCCATCAAAGATATAGCTTTTTTATGATTCTGTGCTTCAAGGAAAACTGTGATGCTCTGTAGTCCTTGAAACTTCTACAGCCTGTCGACTTGCTGGTTAGCAAGCCAGTCCTGATACTGGTCTGTCAGCTTCTTATCAAGAGTAAACACTGCTATATTTTCAGTTGGCACTAATGTATTCAGTTTCCTTTTAGCATAGACTTCTTTTAGTGATCACCAAACAAAATATTAATAGGCTTGTGCTTTTACATTTTCAACTTCTTAAAGTTCTTGTTGGTGTGAGAATTTGAAAAGAAGGTAACCCTTGAATGGAGGATAGAAGTGAACTTGATAGGTAGTGCATTTTCATAGAGAACTAATAAAAGTAAAATACAAAAGAAGGGATTGAAGAGAAAAAAAGAGATCCTTTGTTAGAAAGTGAGCAGTTCAAGTGGAATTGGAAATTTTGCTAAGATAAATCAGAATTTTTAACATGTTATAACCCTGTGTTCATTAAAAACTGCTGTACTGGTTACCATGTGGGGCACCCTGGCTTCAAATGTTTGCAGTAACATGGTCCAAGGGAGTTTTCTGCGGGATAGAAACAGGTAAAAAACAAATGTGATAATCCAGTAATAAAGAGCTAAAGGGTCCATCAATGATTTATTTATTCTGCCATTAGGCTCTGATCAGTTTTTAATTGTGGAGAGTTTCATTCTCATGTACATGTTCAGTATGTGTGTTAGAATATCTATTTATATTTTCTGTGTACATTTAGTTAAAAGGCAGATGGAGCCTGTCTTAGGACAGGTGAGGGGTGGTAGGGGGAGAGGGATGTTACGAGCAATGGATAAAACACTGTTTTTTTAAGACAAAAGGAAACCTGAATGAGCAAAAAAGTTCCCTTCTTTTTAAAAGACTTAAAATTTTGATTTGAGTCAGCTTTCTGTCTTGTCCTGTGTTTACCAGTCAGTAACGTACATAAGCTGTATGTTTTCCTTACGTTTTCAGGAGGCTAGCTCTGAGTTTAAATATTCTCAATCCCAATTGAAGACAACCAAACATCCTTCTCCGAAGGTGACAGCAACTCCTCAAGTCAGACGTTTTGTGCAAAGGTTTCGGGAGGCCAGAACTTTCACCCAACTTTCTAAAGAAATCCAAATGGCAATTGCATGGTGCCGAAGCAAAAAGCAAAAAGTTCAGGCTATGTATTTGGGTAACAAACTTCTTAAAAGTAACCGGCTGAAACATGTGGAAGCTCAAGGTTGTAGGTAAGTACTTTACAAAAATTCCGTGTTTAGCACAAAGTATAGATTTGTTTCCTTATAATGGGATGTCTGGCAATCCTCCAGATGTTAAATCAGGTGAGATTTACTTAGACTATAATTTCACTTGTTTCTTTTGTTACGTGGTCAAAGCTATATCATTGGGAGGAAAAAGTAAACAGCTAATTGGCCTCACTCATTTATTCTCTTCTTCTTCCTATTCATTTATGCAGAGAGCACTGAGAATGTGTGGTATACAAAACACAGGGAACAATAGTGAGGAACAGGCAGTCCTCAAGGCTCCCACTCTAGAGGGAGGTTCAGCTTTTCTATAGACAGTGTCGTGCAGCTGGTGAGGGTGTGAGAGCAGAGCAGGCATTACTGCCTGTGGCCTGCAAGGGCCATCCTAGGCTCTTGGGACCAGGGTCAAGTTTGAGGTCTTACAGGAGCTACGCTCACATATTTACTTCTTTTCCTGTGAGTCTTACACTTAGAACTAAGTGTTCAGTGTTGTAGGTAGTACTGTTAACAAAAAAAAAAAAACAGATGCCAAGGACAATTCCAGACACAGATGGTGTAACGATCCTTTTCCTCTTCACAGAGACAGTCTGTTTGTGTCCATGTGTCCTTCAAAAAATATTCTCCAAGAGCCATGGAGGACATTATCTCCTAAGTGCTTGGGGCCATTGGAGAGAAGCATTCTGTTCAAGATTGGCTTTGAAGTCAGAGTAGATGAGGCAGAGATGATAATGATTAAAAGTTGAGAAGGATAATAAACTCATGTTTACTAGTTAGCCATTTGTTTGTACCTCCCAAAATACAGTGCTCCTGTTATCCTGTTTTGCTCTTGCACTATTATATTTTTTGTATGTTTATATTTAGTGTGCTTATACTGTCAGGTATAGTACTTGACATTTAATGAAACATGTAATTATTTCAGTATAATGAACTTCTTTAAAATTTTTATTTTAAAAGTTAGAAGGGAGGAAGGTAGGGTGGGTAGTTTGACCATCATAGTGATGAATGTATGATAGTACAACACACCTAGAATGGTCAGAACTTTGTAGGCCTGAAGATGACTTAGTATGAATCCTACTTTGGTAGCTCAAGGCCATCAGTTCATCTGAGCCAGAAGCCATCTTTTCATTCTTTTATAACTCTCTCCTCTTCATTTTTATTACTTTTCTCTTGTTCATTTCCTGCCACATCATGAAGCTGCTTACCAGACCTGAATTATTATACACTACAAAACTTTTCATTTGTGCTTTCTCCATTGCCATTCCTGTTACACTGTGACACATTGTAGGTGTTACAAAATACTAAAGTCTAGAGTTGCCTCACCAGTCAGCTACCATAGGGTAGGTCAGTAGAGAAGTTAACTCTCCTTTGCGGGAAAAATGGAGACACATTTGCATGCAGTCTAAACCAGAGGGAAGTCTGAAAACACAAATTTGTGTTGAAACTTTTTTTTACATGATTCTGATTTTGTTGATTCTGATTGTATAGACATAGGACCTGTAAATAAATTATACACTTGTCTGTGTTGGAAGTTGGTAGAAGGCACACACATTAACCATGCTTGAGAAGGTGCTTTTTTTTTTCTTCTTCCCCTTTTCATCATAATGAACTCAAATATTTGTTCTGTCTTTTAGTTTGCCAAAGAAACTGGAGTGCATAAAAACATCCATCTGCAACTGCCTTCTTCGTGGCTCAGGTGTCAACATTTCAAAGCATCTTAGACAAAGAAGATCACAGACTAAATGTTCACTGAGACAAAGGAAACCACAGAGAAAGTTGCAGCCAACTCTATTAAAGGAAATTCAGCAGTTTTCTCAAGGGACTCCACAGACTGCTAAGGACAGCAATGCTAAGTGGAGATGCTCACACCTTGCAGTTCAGAGAACTGATCTCTGTTCCAGCAGTAAGCAGCTCTTGAGTAGCACATTTCCAGATCCCATCATGCAGACTAAGGAGAAACAGGTTCATAGAAATCTCATGGGAAACAACAAAAACAAAACTGATTCATGGACAAACACTCAAATAAGCCAACACAGTATGTCAGGAACTGTTGAAGAAACAGATGACATTGATGACATTTTTGCTTTAATGGGAGTTTAAATGTTCATATGGAACACTAAGAATTAGTGGGCAGGTTCATTCAGTGTTCTGCTGTTTTAATAGGAACTACTGAGGTCTGTGCGCATCAAGTAGGAGGGCACTTCAGCTCAATAAACATTTGCAGTAGCTTTGTGCCACTTAATAAACTATGAGTGCCAGGTGTTAAACAATGAAAAGTCCATCAAAGCCTTACCTGTGAGAAACATGAATTTCTTGATTGAGGCTGATAGGTCCTTGAAAACTTGAATTGTTTTTGATTTCCTAGAGATACTCTCTAGGAAATCAAAAACAATTCAAGTTTTCAAAATCCTCCATGTTTTAAGGGAGCAAGGTGGAGTGGCAAGGAAGCACCCTAAACTATCATTTTGGTCTCATTTGCTCCACTGTAGATTGGTCTGCCAATTTCACTTCTGCTGTCTTTATGTGTTGGAATGGACCACCAAAAGGAATCAGATCACAACCATTATTTCTCTTCTTTTCTTCACCTTACTTACTTCATATGGTATATAAAGGTGTTTTTAGGGTTTTCCAAAAGAGTTTTTTTTTATTTTATGATAATGTGAAATACAACAGGATAACTTAAATAGAAAACAAATTGAAATAATAAGAGGTGACAAAATGTACCCAGGGATAGAAGACTAATAATCATATATTTAAATTTGGTGCTAAAGGTTGATGCTTGTACAATTGTCATGACAGGATCTTAATGTATTTCTAAATAATAATGTGAGAGGTACCTTTCAAATCTACAAACCACTGGAATTAAGATCATAAGCTTCTATGATAGCCTTAAGTTGTATATTGTCACGTAATAGACATTGTAAAAGAAAAGGTACTCTGGTAGATGCAGTATCTTTTTCAAAGGCTACTCTGTGATTTTCTCTATATTTTCCCACATTTGATATTCTGCTTTGCTCTTCTGTGTTCTGCATTTTCTCATAGGAGACTTTGAGTCTCTTAGTGGGTTGGCAGATTCCTAGCCTTTTGCAAAGGTCAATAACCATGGATAAGGGAATGGGGCCAGAAGTTTTCATGCATATTTAACAAGGAATCCAGGTGATTTTGATGCGGGTAGACTAAAATCCAGAGTTAATATATAAATGCTGGTTTTCCTTTGTTAGCTTGTCCCCTGTCGCCTTGTTTTTAAGGACATTTTTCACTTTTACCCCATCTGGCCTTGAACTCAAGTGTCTTGCCTCAGCCTCCCAAATTCTGGGATTATAGGTGTGCCCTGCTTTCTGAAGCCTGTTGTAATGCAGAGCCCTCAATCGCTAGTCACTTTCCCTATGGTTTTCAAGTGGCAGTAGGTATTTTTGTGCCTTAAATCATGGTCAGTGATAATATAGTAGCATTCTGTTTCTTGCCATACAATGCCTAGGGACTACAAGCTCAAATAAACATTTTTTTCTTTATAAATACAACTTTCCATTGACAATTTTATTTGTGACAAGTCTACAAACAGCCACCAACTTCTAAGTAGCTTTGTGTTCAATGCATTTATACTGGGAACTGAAGGTGAACCAGTAGGAGACAACTGGTCTGTATAGCTGTCATATAGAGGGACTGCTTTGTTTCCTGAGTTGTCAATTCAGTCACCCACTCCTTCAGATGATCTCTTGAAGACTTTCCATCCTGACTTCTGGTGTGGAGGACAAAGTAAGAAAGCAAAAGTCCCTGGGAGTTAGGAGATTTAAGGTCTAGTCTTCTGCTTCTGCATTCTGAATTGTGAGTTTAAAAAATGCTACTTCCTCCATGACAGGATGTTTTTTGTGGTAAACATCTTTGAATTTTGCTTTATTGTTAGTTTGGGCTTGCAAATGTGCAGCTGTCCTGAGATAACATCTTACTTTAGGCCACTTTAATCTTAATAAGTTGGTGTGGTTACAGTTAGAAGAGTTTAAGAGAAATAAATGCATTGTGCAATGACCAATTGATAACTGACACTAAAACTAGAACTTGAATTCTGTGTTTCTCATTCTCATTCTTGTGTTCACCTGAGATTCATGACTCCAGCCTGAAATGGCTGGTCTTTGGAATATGGTCTGACAAATTTTATCAAGAATAAGTCTTTTTAATATTCAAATAAATAAGGACTCAAGAAAAGATTACAGGCTAATATCTGAGCTTTTACCCTGTAACATCAATGCCTTAGTCCATTTTAGACTTAACAAAATAGCATATACATGATGACATTTTCTTGGAAATGTTAAAAACTCAACATGACCGACCCTTCTCTACATAGTAGTTACAGGTTCCATATCACAGATTTGTATAAGTTCTTATTAATTAAAGTAAAAAAACCCAGCTAGTATCTGTCCTAATGAACAGCATATATCTATAAACTTTTTTCCATGGGCACAAATTCATTCTTTTGGGGAAGATAACAGGTTTTAAAGCTGAAGTAATTCTTCTCTAGTTACAAGTATACAACATTTAAAACAATATTGAAATTATTCTAGGTGTTTAGCTCCAATTGAGACAAGGAATTTTGAAACTTTAAACTAGTTGTTAGTTTTTTGTTATATTTGCTATAAAGCATTTCAACAGATGGATTCCGGAATAAGTCACAACACTGAAAAGAGAAAGCAAAAATAATTTTCTAATGTCAGGTAGTAACATTTCTATTCGTCTAACTTTTAGTTATTTACAAATGCTGATTCCATGTTAGGTAGAACTTTTCATCTGTCCTACTTTCTCCCAGTTTCTTGTGGTATCCTAAATATGATGACTCATAACTAACAATATCTTTTTGAACCATGTATACGTGGTAAAAGGCCCCTAAGTATTAATGTTAGATCAGTCTGTTTAATAAATAGTACAGAATATATGGATAGACATGGTATAATTGCTTCTGTAGTACCTAAGTAATAAAATTCCAAGTAGATGAGAATTGAATGTGAAGGCAGAGAATTTCAAGAGTTGAAACAACTTGAGTTCAAAAAGATGTAGTTAGTTATGAGTCACCATATTTAGGATACCACTAAAACATTCCCAACCCTCTTGTCTCCAATTAGTCACAGAAAAAAACAGAAGTAGAGCTGTGGTTCAAGTGGTAGAGCACTAGCTTTGAGCAAAAGAAGCTTAAGGATAGCACCCAGGTGTACAGTTATAGCCCTAGGACAAACAAAAAAGAAACATTTTAATTTCTGTGGTGGTCTAGGGTTAAACTAGAAAGCAGAAGCCTACAGGGTATAAGATCTAGAAAGAAATGAGAAGATGGAAGAAGAAGAATAGAAGTGCTAATGGGTTCTACCAGCAAATCATAGCTAAGTGACGTCTCAAACACTGATTTAATACTAAAGGTTTCTAGTACATGAAGATATGTACAATGGCTGGGAATGTGGCTTAGTGGTACAATGTTTGCCTAGCATGCATGAAGCCCTGGGTTCCATTCCTCAGTACCAAATAAACAGAAAAGGCCAGAATTGGTGCTGTGGCTCAAGTGGTAGAGTGCTAGCCTTGAGCAAAAGAAGCCAGGAACAGTGCCCAGGCCCTGAGTTCAAGCCCCAAGACTAGCAGAAAAAAATAAAAAATTACAATTCTTACCTTACAGGAAACAATTGAGGAAAACATCCTTGTGTTTGTGTATTAACAAATTTCTGGATCTCAAGTACTTGTTTTAAAAGATGTCCCTTGGAAGATTTGTCAATTTTTGTTAATACCATCTATAAGAAAACAAAAATTTTTAACTGTTAGCAATTATAAAATAAATTACAAAATTATGAAAATTACAAAAACAAAACCATGAAGAATCTGGTTGAAGAGTGAGCTTGAACTCTGATCCTGGGTGCTTTCCCTGAGCTCTTCAGCTCAAGGCTACTGCTTTGCCACTTAAGCCACAGCACCAGTTCCAGCTTTCTGGTGGTTTATTGGAGACAAGGGTCTCACAGACTTTCTTGCCCAGGCTGGTTTTGAACCCATGATCCTCAGCTCTCAGCCTCCTGAGTAGCTAGGATTACAGGTGTGAGCCACTGGTGCCTGGCTAAATGTAACTTATTTTTTTGCCAGTCCTGGTGCTTGAACGACAACAACAAAAAGCTAACAGCAGGAATAACAAACTGAAAAATATTAACCTATGAATTACCTCAACTGGGAGTGCTTGTAAATTTACATGTATGCACACACACAGAGATACACACACATATATTTGTGGTGTAGAAATTGGAACTCAGGTTGGAGTCTCCGATATGCTAGGCAAGTACTCTACAATTAAGCTACACCTTTAGTCCCAAATTTAAACAAATGTTTGATTTTTTTTAAGTTTGTTTTCCCCTTTTTTAATTTGAAGAACTCGAGATTGAACCTAGTATGTATTGATTATTTATGATACCTCAATTCCTTTCCAAAAACAAAATCCTTTTAGTTTTTCCCTTCATTTAAAACTGGGAAAGTTTGATTTCATGATCTGGTACCTATGATAGGAAATCATGAATACTATTACTTAACAAAACCAGTTTGACAGTATTTAGGCATTTATTACCAGTCCCTTAATTTCTTGCAATTGTTATTCCTAATGTTACACAGGCCTTTTGCAACCCTCCCAAAATTTGTAACTCATACTAAAAGTGGCTGGCTAGTAACATGGTTTGGCTTATGTTAATCCCCATTGTTATAATTTAGTGATGTTCTGAGTCTATGGAAACTAAATTAAAGTCACTAAGGTCTTCAATTCTCTGTAGACTCAACTTTAAGGATGCTATTTTATCTAGAAGTTATTACTAAGCAAAATTAGTGTGGACAAACCTATTAATTTGTATTTTATTCTAGGTCAACTGACAGGAAAAACTCTAGCAAAGTATTTCCAGAATTCTGTACACTTTTGTTAGGAATAGAAAAGTCTTATTTGTATGTGCTAGAGCCTGCTATGTTCTTGAATCAGTTTTAAATTCCCAATTGGGCTAGTGTTCCAGCTGCAGTTTATTTACATTTTGGTAAGTGCCATCTGCCAAGCTACCATGTCAAGCTATTAACATGTTTTGTAAAAATGTGTTTCCATTTTAAAAAATGGAAAAAAGCACTTAGGAATACTAAATACTGAAAGCTTTGGAAACTTTGACCATAATTTAAATATTTAGCTGGACGCCAGTGGCTCACCTATAATCTTGGCTACTTAGGAGGCTGAGATATGAGGATCACAGTTCAAAGCCAGCTGGGGCAGAAAAAGTCCGTGAGACTCTTATCTCCAATTAACCACCAGAAAACCGGAAGTGGCGCTGTGGCTCAAGTGGTAGAGCTCTCGCCTAGAGTTGGAGAGCTGAAGGACAGTGCCTAGGCCCGGAGTTCAAGCCCCACACCAACAAAGAAACCAAACCCAAACAAAAAAAATCTTAAAGCTGAGAGAAGAAAAAGTGTGTCACAAGCTTAAAAGCACTTTTTTTTTCCTTTTGAGGAAGCAACACCTCATTCATTATCAAGTGGGTGGCACACATTCTCTCTTTCTCTCTCTCTCTCTCTCTCTCTCTCACACACACACACACACACACACACACACAGAACTGATATCTGTAACTGTAACCATGAGTCAGAAGGAACACTTACCACATAAGGTAATGCAAATTCCTCACACATTTCTATGGCAATATGATCTGTTTTTGTGATTCCGACAACACTATCCACTAGTAAAAATGTTCTTTTCAAGCTGTAAGAATGCAGGAAAGATAAGTGGCAAATAAGATATACTCATTCATATGTCTCCTATCTACCCAAGACATTTTTCTTTTTCTTTGAATAATTCTCAGTTCACCAGAAGGTTCCTCCTATAGTCCAATAGGCATCAATGTAGTTTATTATCAGTACATTTCCTAAATATTTATTTCAGTAAACGTTTTGAACATAAGTTGCCTGAAGTATGGTGCAAAGATGAGTGACTCCTTTTTCTAAGACCTTAAGCTCTAGTGGGAAAAGATATACAAATCCAACTTTCTGTGAGTTAATTATAGAAGCATCTAATTTTTGAAATACCAGTTTAAGGCTAACAGAAAAAAGTACTGCATTTTCTTAAATATTTCATTTTTGTTTTTTATAAAAGCAAAATACAAAAAAAAAATCCAATATGGGCTGGGAATGTGGCTTAGTAGTAGAGTGCATGCAGGAAGCCCTGGGTTCAATTCCTCAGTACTATATACAAAGAAAAAGCCAGAAGTGGCTCTGTGGCTCAAGTGGTAGAGTGCGCTAGCCTTGAGCATAAGAAGCTGAGTTCAAGCTCCAGGACTGGCAAAAAAATAAATAAAAGCAAAATACTTAAAATGCTAATAAGGTTTTTTTTTGGTAGTACTGAGGACTGAAGGCAGAGCTTCTTCCATGAGCTACTTCCTCAGCCATAAACACTATTTGATACTTTAAGTTTAACATTTTTCTATGTTGTATAATTAAGCACAGAACTATTAACTACATATGGAGGAAAAAAAGATAACATTTTCAGAGGATGTGATGGCTGTGGAATTTTAAATGTGAACAGAATTTACTGGTTTATTTAAATCTGATAAATATCACATTAACCAGTAATTTTTATTTCAAAATCTGCCAGCTAACAGTTTAAAAAAAAATTAATGAGCCAGGTGCCGGTGGTTCACACCTGTAATCCTAGCTACTCAGGAAGCTGAGATCTGAGGATTGTAGTTCAAAGCCAGCCCAGGCAGGAAAAGCTGTGAAACTCTTATCTCCAATAAATTATCAGAAAACTGGAAGTGGCGCTGTGGCTCAAGTGGTAGAGCACTTGCCTTGAGCTGGAGAGCTGAGGGACAGTGCCCAGGCCCAGAGTTCATGCCCCATAATGGACAAATAATAATAATAATAATAATGAACTCACTCTACTGAATACTTTTTACAGCTTTAATTTAGAAAAACATTTGATATTAACCTACAAGCAGAAACCAAACAAGCAGTAAATACCTTAGTCCTACATATTGTAGAATACTATGAAAATTAAATAGACCTGGTAAAACTGAAGTGTTCTTCATGTAGAGAATGCTCTTGATGAAAATGTGCTAAGGGATAAAATAGTAACTATTGTAAGAAAAGTTTTCCTTACTTCCTTCGTTCTTTTAGATAGGTTTCTACCATGTCAACAAAGTCTTCAGGTGCTCTATAGCCATAACCTGGCATGTCCACCAAAGTAAAGTATTTTCCAACTTTGAAAAAATTCATTTTCTTTGTGTGCCCCTGATAAATGAAAAATAAAAGCTGACTTAAAATTAGCCCTGTATGTTTCATCACTTGAAATGTTTTCTACTCAATTAACAAAATACTTGTTAAAGCCTAAGTACATTATCCTAATTATTCTGATGACAGAAAAACAGGTAAAAGGGGAAGTGCCTAGAGAGAATCTTAGATCATACTAATTCTTTCCAATTCATTTATCATCAAACACAATCTGTATTATCTAAGAACTTTAGAGTTCATATTAGAAGTAAGTAGGCAAAGTATTCTGGTGTTTTACCTGTTTCACTCTTTATGAAAAAGTTACCCTGCTCTACACTGTAATATTAGTAGGTATTCTCTGATGACTAATGTATTGCCTGTCAGGCATGTCAGGCATACTGGTTTTCCTAACACCTACACCTAAGGCCTCACAGTTTTGCATACCTAGACTATTACTTCCTTAAAATCAAGACATTTTGCATGTTTTATTATGTGGTTTTCAGTGCTCTACTCCCATTAAAGATTTTTTTAAAGTAGTTGCAACAGTGTAATTCTAGACTATCTGTGCAACTAAAACTGATGGAAAGTTGATAAAATGTAGTTTATTCCTGCTTTTGAATCCATGGGACAGGAAGGGGATTCAGTCTACCTAGAAGTGATAGTTTAGCTGGTTTATTTGGTGAAACAGAGCAGCAGTGAAGATGGAAGGGCTAAGGAAGTAAAAAATGTCTACTATATAAGCAATAGAAAGCAAACAACAAACAAGAAGTGGAGAACTCCAACACGAGAGGCAGTGAGCATTATAGCTGGTGGAAAGGTTTGCCATAGATAGGAGGGAAAGTGGAGGTGAGTTTTGAAGAAAGGTTATCTTAGATACTGGCAGAGTCAGCATCATTGAGAGGCAAGTAGAATGAACTGGAAAATGACAGAAGTCTACTAAGGCAGAATAAGTGGAAATGTAAGCACATTACTTGGCCCTTAGTAAAATAATATGTCTGATAGTATATGTAAGGGGGGGAGGAAGGGAGAGTTTTGTGTTATATTATATAGAGGAGAGTATAGAAGAAAAGCATGTGCACTGGAAAGGTATAAAAGGAAAAAGTGAAATTTAAAGCTGTTCACTCTAAAAACCAATGTAAACTTGATCTCTCTTATAGAAGGAAATATCAAACAATAAAACACTTTATTGCCAACTGCATGGAAAAAAAGCATTCCTCACTGGCAGACTATTAAAATATATCAAGCTATACTTTTTCAGAGAACTGCACAGGTAATACTGAAATATCTTTATTACTTATTATTATTTAATCTTTTATTACTTCTTTGAAAGAAATCTTTAGGAACTTTCTTGTACTTTCTGATATTTATTATTTGTCTTATTCAATTTAAAAGACAGTCCAGACATATTTAAACATTTTTACCTACTGGTTTTTTTGAGACTCTGACTTCAACATCAGGGGCCAGTGAAAATAAAGCCTTAATTAGGGAGGATTTTCCAACATTGCTCCTGCCTATAAAACACACCTTACACAAGAAAAAAAAAAGAGAACAGAGGATTAGTTTATGTTTATTTACTCACTGAATGCTGTTATTTCCACAAAACTGTCTACTAGTCAGTCTTGCCAAGCCATAAAGATGGCTTATGCTAGTCAAAAATCAAATTCTAATTAACAGCTAATATTTGTTTAGTAAGCGTAAAGTGCCAAGTACTGCCTAAGCACTTACTACTATTTATTTTCTTTCATACCTCTATGAGATGTGTAATACTTTTCTATCTTACACTTAGGAACACACAGTGGCCCCAAATTATACAGACAGATTGAAGGAATTGGGATTTGAACTCAGAACACATATCTAGAACACTGTGCCTTTCATTAAACAATGCCACTCAAGAATATATGCAAGCTCTATAAAGCATTACACATTACAAAACTTTCTGAAGTAGACAATAGCATATTTTTTATAAAAAAAAAGCTGAAAAGTACAACTTGAGAAAATCGACATTTTTCCCAAGAACTTTCATATTACATTGTTGCAATTTAAGATTTTCTTGTTTATTTTTTCCCTCAATCTCTCCTGTCTTAGTCATGCTTTTCTCTGTAGTATTGAAAGCAAAACACTGGATAATCCCATTCTTACACATGGCTCTACTTTTTATAGAGACAACTCCAACCAGTTGTAAATGAGGTTAAAAGCACCTCTCTGGGGCCATTATAGAACTGTACGAGCATTTTTTGGTTATCAATCCAATTGGGGAGCATCCTGAGGTGTGTAGGACCAGTGATTCTGTGTGTTCTGTGAAACTCAGGTCAGTCCTTCAAAGAGAACTGCATACATTTCAAACGCTCTGGCCAGAAAACGGAAGTTTATAACATGCTTTATAGTATACAAAGAGTCCTTTAATTATAGAAGTTGAATATAACTTGTAAGAAAAAAATGTGGGGAAATGGTCCAGTTGAAGAACACAGGTAGAGAGAGAGCTGAGCCATCTTTCGACAGACTTAATTGTATTATGGAGTTGTAGAGCATAAAAAAGGTGCACACTCATGGGATTTCATTTGTAAAAGTAGTTGTAAAAGTTTTCCAGATTATTGCCCCCATAGTTAATTTTTATTTCTGCACTTGATAAGAAAGTTAGATTGAATGAAAATTACACGTTGGTAAGGATCATCTCCTTTACAAAACATTCTCGATTCTTCAGCATTTTCCCCCTATTTCGACTGAATAGGAAAAAGAAAAAGGGCATTGTATTCTTCCATATTCATCATCATAATAATGTAAATTATAGTAGTTTATACGGAATAGACTATAGTTTGTTTATACGGAATAGTTAATATATCATACATGTTATATATACATACATATACACAATATGTACGTCCACACAAACTTGGAAAAGGGTGACAGTGACAGCACCTTCCCACCTTTCCCAGAGTGACAAGAAGTGACAGCACCCCGCCCCCACCTTTCCCAGGATGAACAGAAGTGACAGCTCCCCCTTTCCCAGGGTGACCAATGACAGCTCCCCCCCTTTCCCAGTGACCAATGACAGCTCCTCCCCCTTTCCCAGAGTGACCAATGACAGCTCCTCCCCCTTTCCCAGAGTGACCAATGACAGCTCCTCCCCCTTTCCCAGTGACCAATGACAGCTCCTCCCCCTTTCCCAGAGTGACCAATGACAGCTCCTCCCACTTTCCCAGAGTGACCAATGACAGCTCCTCCCCCTTTCCCAGAGTGACAGCCCTCCCTCGCCCACCTTTCCCAGGCTGACAGGAAGTGCAGCCCCCACCCCGACCCCCACCCCTCTGCAAACTTCAGCCCAGCAGCCCTCACCTCCGGCCGGGCGAGGGTCGGGGCGTGGTCGAGACGGACCGCGGAGCTGAGGTACTCGATGCGGTTCCGGGCGGTGGCGGCGAAGACGCCCTCGGCGCTTTCCATGTCCTCCGGGCTGGGGTCGAAGAGCTTGAGGTGCAGGTCGAGCCTCGAGTCCGGAACCAGGCGCTGCTCGAGCTCCTGCAGCGGGTACAGTAGTTTCGTCATTTGCTTCTTCGGCATCTGGAGCACCTCGGCCAAGGTCGGGCCCGTGCCGCACCGTAGGCTCAGACGTGCCACAGTCGGCGACACGTCTAAGAGCTTTTGCATTCCGCGCCGCAGACCAAGAGCCGCCATCGTGTCTCCTAGAAATCATGCCGCCCTAAGTTGGGAATTGCGCGTGCGTAAACTCCGCGGCCGCCGTGCCTGCTGGGAATTGTAGTCTCTGAGTGTGTCTCTCTCTTCCTCGCCCCCCCCAACTCCGCGGCCGCCGTGCCTGCTGGGAATTGTAGTCTCTATGTGTGTGTTGTAGTGTGTGTGTGTGTGTGTGTGTGTGTGTGTGTGTGTGTGTGTGTGTGTGTGTGTGCGTGCGTGCGCGCGCGCGCGCGCTCCCCTTCTGGAACCAGCAGGGATAAGCCCAGTAGCTTCTTTTAACAGCCCTTTGGATCTGTACTTTACTGTTGATTCAGCCCTTTGGACCTGTACTTTACTGTTGATTTTCCCCGCCAGGGGTGAAAGAGCTACGTGACTGTGGAAGGTGGTGTGAAGTTCAGGATGCAAAAATGTTTTAATTTCACAGTGTCTGGTTGCCTGATGTGGTAAATTTGCCTCACTAAGAAAAGCATTTGTGGGGGTAAAAAAAAGGAAGAGCTGGTGAGAAATGTGGTTGGAAAAGCACCTTGGTGTGTGTGTGTGTGTGTGTGTGTGTGTGTGTGTGTGTGTTTCGGAGGGGGGGGGATCTGTTCAGCCATCTGTAACTGTAATATCTGAGTTGCCATTCACTCGCAACTTCTCATTTATCATGGTTGCCACCAGTGTTTGTAGAGCTATTTGGGAACTCTCCTCTGGATCATTCATTATCTGTTCTGACCCCTGATTGTCAAGATTGGGAATTGAGATATCCGGATTTGCCATTTTTCTTGTGTTTTTCCGGCTTACTCTGCCCATTTGAGATGAAAATAGCACCAGTTTTGTGCTAGAACACTATCTTAAGGCAACCATCAATCAAAGTTTGCTTTTGTACAGTTAATAGTCTACATATACAATCTAGTTCAACAGATACATCTATTCAAGGTCAAACAACTATATGTTAATGGGCTTCGAACCGCAGAGAAGAATTTGGAAGACCAGAAATTATAAGGGTTAGGGAGAGATGTGGGTAAAAAATAGGGATAAAGGAGGTCATAAATACCAAGGTTTTTACTAGGTTAAAATCAATGTGTTTCCTGTGAGAGATCTAAATGCAAATATACTTTTTGTCTTCCCAGCTTCTAGAGGTAGCCTATATTCCTTGGCTTGTGGCCTTTTCCTTTATCTTCAAAACCAGCAACATAGTATCTTACATTTCCTTCTGCCTCAGACTCTTCTGCTTCCTTTTTTCCTTTAAAAGGATACCTGTAGTTAATTTTAACATGGCTTTTTAGAGTCATTGTGTTTAAATCATCTCATTTAACAGAGGTATGGACTGGCAGTGAACCTTGAGTTACCTGATATTTGTACTTAGAGGGAGCAGCTTTCAGAAGAATTGAATGGGATAAAAGACTATAAGGAAAGCAAAAACAAAACAAATGAAAAAGAGGCTCAGAAAGTATTTCAGTATGTTACTTCTTCAAAATCAGTTCTGATGGGCTGGGAAAGTGGCTCAGTGGTAGAGTGCTTGCCTTGCATGCATGAGGCCCTGGGTTCAATTCCTCAGCACCATATAAGCAAAGAGAAAAAAAGCCGGAAGTGGCGCTATGGCTCAAGTGGTAGAGCACTAGCCTTGAGCTGAAGAGCTGAGGGACAGCGCCCAGGTCCAGAATTCAGGCCCCATGACTGGACCCCCCCCCAATAAAAAAACAAAAAACAAAATCAGTTCTGATTTATATTTTATCTTACTCATTAATACTGTTGTCCTAATGCCAAGAAGTTATTTGCTCCAAATAGGTCCAAGATATATATTAAGTTAAATTCTTTATGGCATGTTCTGGAAAGCTTATGTGTTTCAGCAGTAACAATAGCTGTTTGTTTGTTTTTTCCTTTCTCTGATTTGACATGTGGGAAAACAAAATTTAAGCAGTTGTAAAACATCGTAATAAAAAGATATTTACTTAATACATGTTGCTTTGGTTTGGAAATAGTTTGTCCACACAATTTTATGGGCTAAAAGCTTTGATCTCCAACTGTGACAATGTTGAAAAGTGTTACAGTGTTTGAGAGATGGAGTCTGGTGAGAAGCAATCAAGATGACCCTTGGAAGACATTGCCACCCATCTTACAAAGATAAATTAGGTTTTGCAGGACTGGATATGTTACCACAGCAGTGTGTTGGTCTCAGCTTTCTCATCTCATTCTCTTTTTTTCTTCTCTTGCCATGTGCCTGCTCTATCTTGGTCATGCTCCTACCATAGGCTTCTATTGGACACAAGGCCTTAACCAGAAGCCAATGTTGGTGCCATGCTTTTAGAACTGTGAGCTAAATCCATTTCCTTATTTCCATAAGTGTCTCCTCAGACATTTTTTTCTTCCAGTCCTGAGGCTTGAACTCAGGGCCTGGGCACTCTCCCTGATCCTCTATGTGTACAAGGCTAACGGCTCTACCACTTGAACCACAACACCACTTCTGAATTTTTCTGTTTTGTTTTTGTTTTTGTGGTGCTGAGGAATTGAACCCAGGGCCTCATGCATGCGAGGCAAGCACTCTACCACTGAGCCACATTCCCAGTCCCTCTCAAGACATTGTTATGCTTGAGGATGGATGTGTCTGCAGATAGATAGTATTATGTAAGTGCTTTGTTTTTGAAGATGGAAAACATTTATTGCTGAAGATGGAAGAATGGCTACTAGTGGTCCCTCTACCATTGCTTCTGGGTTCTCATTTTGAAGAATTTGCAGGTCCACTCATGGTGCTAGCTCTTCCTGGGTTCATTCTTATCAGGATTGCTACATCACCAGCAGGAGCTCAGTCATATTATTTTGTTTACACTTAGGACAAGTTCATTAGAAGCAGAACACACTTCTTATACCTTTAGTTGCTTTATTATGTTCAGCCAAGTAAAATGTAAAAACACAAAGTAGAAAAAAGATCTTATCTACTTCCTTTTATTGGTGCAACACTTTCAACATCTAAACATTTTCAATAGTCTTATAACTATTACTTCTTCTTTTCCCAAGCTGAGATAACCATAACAGAATTTTAAGTAAAATTCCCCTAGATATACTTTCACATCATATTAACCCACTCCAAAATGATCAGCACCATCATGTATTAAGAAAACAACTCAAATGTTGACAACTCATTATGTTGAAAATGAACTTTACAGTTTCTGGGGTATGTGTGTGTGGAGGAGGTGGGGAGGGAAGGGATGGTAGGGGAAAAACAAAGGAGGAGTTAACAATGCTCATAGGAAATTTACTCATTACTCATGTAACTGTAACCCCTCTGTACAGTATTTTTACAATAAAAATATATATGAGAAAAGAAAACAAATCAAAGCATATAATGAAGAAAAATCATAAATGGAAAGTAGTTACAAAAATATAACTTTGATGTGAATATAGCATAAACTATATTACAAAAAAGTCCTATCTTCAAGTTCTTTCAATTCATGGATGGAATATCTGAGCCTTTGTATTTCATTAACATAATCACTGCTTCAAGTGACTAGAATACATGAAGATTTTAATAAAACAGAATGAAGAAAGTTGTGATCAAATGGTACAGCCTCAAACACAAGAATTCTTCTGCTCCGGGTATCTTTATTGCTGTCATCCCAAAGTTAAATGATACAGTGATTTATTTTAAAAATGCAGACTGGGAATGTGGCTTAGTGGTAGAGTACTTGCTCTAGCATGCATGAAGCTCTGGATTCAATTCCCCAGTACCACATAAGCAGAAAAAGCCGGAAGTGGTGCTGTGGCTCAAGTGGTAGAGCACTAGCCTTGAGCAAAAGAAGCTCAGGGACAGTGCCCAGGCACTGAATGCAAGCTCCAGGACTGGGAACCAACCAACTAAACCAAAAAAATCCATGCTTTTAAATTTGTAATTTTATCCTCTTTGAAGGAGATTGGGTGAAATGATGAAGTTCAGGAAGTATGCTAACGAAGAAACAGAGAAGACTTGTTGATGCACTGTAAAAATGAGGAAAGGGGACATTCGGAAGGGACAAGGAAGGGGCATGTGGTGATGGCAGACCAAGATATTTAAATTATTTCTCCCACTGAAGACAAGTAGGAAAGCTAGACCCAACAGTAAACTATGCCGGGAGTTATCTAAAGGCTAGGGATATATTGATGAATTACCCAACTAAGATGCAGAAAAAGAAAGAAATGAAGAGTGGAAGAGCTTGGTATTGAAACTACTTGTACCCTGAGGAATTTGCAGATTAATGGATAAGACCTGGTTGAAAAATTACTAGTGCTTTCAACAACCCTTTGGAATGGGGAAGAGTGAGATATGGTGAGATGGAGGAAACAATAAGATCTTTTCTCACACAGACTGCCCTCTGGCTTAAATAGCTCCTCAAATCCTAGTCATTAAAGTTGGATTAAGGCAACCACAGATTGCTAGTGTTATGATACAGGGACTCAAATTATTTCTAAATTTTCTACAATTAAGAAAATCTACCTTGTTAGCCCAATAAGCTCCCTTCCCATAGCTTAGCATGTTCCTTTCCTAGGCAACACTAGGCTCAGTTAGTAAAGGCTGTAAATAAATAGCCTCCATCATTTCCCCTCCCTCTCCTCCCCCCCCCCAATAATGCTCTTTTACCTTGGGATGGCACTCCTCTGGGGCATATAAGGCAACATATAAGGCAGCAAGATCCCCTTAGAGTGACCTTCTGGTCTGGGCAGCTGCAAGATCCCTATCTACTACTTGGGCAGCAGATCCTAGTCTGCCATGATGAAGCCCCTGAACCACACATCCACACCAGGATCTTTGCCTTCTAAACCTTGTAGGTTACAAAAAATCACCAGACACAATAGCCAGCACTTCTCTCTTGTGAGAAGGGTTCTTGCCAGTCCCTTTACAGGCAATTATCCTTTTCTTTATTCTTTGTACCTGGATGTCTGTGTGGTTTTTCTGGCAAAGTCTAATTTACCTTGTCTGGCATATAAAAGGAGCTGACATCACAGAAGGATTCAATAGACATTTACCCACAGACACACTGA